TTATGATGATGATGAATTGGGTATCGCGTGTCACACGCTAGCTAGTGGAAGTCTTCCATCGTCTATGCACTGTCATGGTACCCTGGGGGTTGCACTCCTTTGCGCTGAAGATGACAAGGCTCTGACGTTTGGCCATGAACACCACAGCGCGCGTTACACTTAATGTCTTTGATTTGATGGGTGTCAGTGACTGGTATAAGACAACAAAAAGATGTACGTTGGCTTAAGTACAGGGTGGTCTAGACCTCTTGTGAGCCCCGTTTAATTCTCAAAAACGTATTTTTATTTAAACATAAAGTTTATTTAAAACAGAAATAAATCTACAAAGGAACAAACATGTCCATGATAGTTTTTTGGGTTAGATTGCGTAAATATAAATGTGCCGTTAAATCCGGGACCACCTGACACAGCCAATTAGTAAGGTTTGTCACGTAAACAGAACATGCCAATTCGTTACTAGTACAGCACATTGGTGTGTTGGAGAGTGAACCCGCAACATTTATAATTTGAGTACAGGTGGTGGTGGGTTTAATTAAACATTTTATTTTTGCGATCTAACCCAAAAAACCTCTATTAATAATATTGGTCGCGAAAGCCTACGTATTAAACAAACACAATGTCGCCTCTCTCCTAATTCCTGCACCTGACTAACGCGTGTAGTCAACGATGATCGTACTCAGGATGGTATGTTAACAATGAAACTCTTTAATAAAAAATAAATCATGGAAATCGGGACAACAGCCACAAGGCGCGGCTCACTCCGACTCGCACCACAGCTCCAGTCCTCGCTGTCCGACTGCTCTCACCCCGACGAAAACGTGAAGTTGCCTTACACATGTTATTGGTCAGGGGGGGGGTCACAAGACATCTGAACCACCTCTGCGCACAGGCTCTGCTTGTCACCAATCAATCTCCGTTGCCTTGAGAGCCAAACGTCTGCGCGACGTCTCCGTGTCGCCACCGGGGGCTCTGCGTGCTGCACGTGACACAGGTTCGGCGGAAATTCCTCACCACGGAGTAAAAAAGATAACAACCAAAGTATGCAGCCAATGCCTCATCTACATAATTGCCTTCGTTGGGATACAATGGGAATGAGTCATTTACATAATTGGCTTCATTGGGGATACAATGGGAGTCGTTTATAACGAAGGGAGGTATTATGCATTCTCGAAGTCAGTGTTCTTTAATTCATTTTCAGAGCGGGGGGGGGGGGGGCATTTTTCGCCGATAAGACATCATCAGTGCGAGGGCCACCACACGTTTGAAACCATTGTTGGGGTTTGACAGCAGCACGACGATGATGATGGTGATGGGTGGGGGGGTTTTCAACATTTGTGTCTTTGTCGGTGGGCCGCACTAAAGGCCACCAGGGGGCCGCCAGTGGCCCCGCGGCTCCTTGCAAGCGAAGAGCGCCGCTCTCAATCAATGCAACGAGAACTCGGTTCGTCGCCACTCGTTTATCGCCCTGAGCGGCGGCTACATTGGACGGTCGACTTCCTCTTCCCAGTGAGTGAGGTCCGCCGGTCTCGGAGGCCGTAACCCAGATGCGACTGTTGAGGAGGCCACATTCGCCAGGCCCCCTGGGGCCCCTTGGGGGGGCCCCCTGTGCCACAAGGCGACACAACCAACGTGATGTCTTCCCGAATGCGACCGCGCCTCAAGACGCTGTGCGGAAACTGCGGACGCAGTTATTTTGGGCGATCGTTTTTGCGATAGCTAGAGCTCAGTGGGCCTTACCTGGGTAAGATAAATATACAATAAAAAAAATGTTTATAGACATCGACAGTCATTGGCAAGGGTCATTCGGTCCACAGAACTAACGTATCCTCGTCCGATGCCCATTAACTTATTTAAATGTTCACGAGGAAACTCCCTTGAGCTGTAGTAACATAGCTTTTTTGCAAAAGCTGCCCCGGGAGTGTCAATTGACAGGTTGCTGAGCACACACGACGTCGACGTGAGTGCAAACATAGTGCCAGGACTTTCACCGTCTGACTCCAACGCTCGGGAAGGATCCCCACCCCCACCACCACCCTCCTTTCCCCCTTGAACATCCGAGGAGCAGAGGGTTCTGACGACTTTCAACGTCGCCAAGGTCACTGCAGCTCGGCGATGTTGTGGACAGGCGTAGGCCACTCTTGCGAATGAGATGATCCAAGTGTGGTGTGTTCTCACCCTGGGTCAGAGGTCGCAAACGGGTTTTGAACAGGTCCCTGTGGGGTGGGCTGGTAGGAACGAATAACCAAAGAATATAAACATAATGTATTATTACACTTGTTTAGCCAGGAAAGCCTCACTGAGTCTAAAGGTTTTTGTAGGGTCCTACCAAGTGTTTGCAGTAGGGGGCGATGTTGCTACACCTAATCAGACATCGGACGGACGGACGGACGATATAATCTATTGTAGGCTGGTTCACTTCGTTCCTACCAGTATTACTTACCCGTACCCGGCCGCACCAGGGTCGCAATCGGGTACCCGTACCATACCCGATACCCGTACCCGGCCGGGTATCGGGTAGGGTACAGGTATGGGTACCCGATTGCGACATCTGGGATGAAGCCATGTTGCAGGCGTGGGTGGGTTGATTCTAGGAACTTGAATTGTGAGAAGAGACAAGACGTTGGGAAATGAGTGACAAACGGTTACTCACCAGTGACTCACGGCCTACCCGTGCCCATACCCGGCCGCACCAGGGTTGCAAACGGGTACCCGTACCCGGCCGGGTATGGGTAGCCGGGTATCGGGTAGGGTATGGGCATCGGGTACCCGATTGCGACCTCTGCCCTGGGTACACGGAATAAACTGCAAACCTGTGTCTCAAAACCTTGGCTCGTCAGTGGCAGTCGGTGAGTTGAGCCAAGCGTCACGTGTCGGGTGAGATCCTGCTAGAGCAGGGGTCGGCAACCTACGGCTCCGGAGCCGCATGCGGCTCTTTACAGGCTGCTTCTTGACGATATGTACAGTATGTACTCAGATGCATTGCGGCTCTTGAAATACTGAATTTTGTACCGAATTGGAAAGAAATGGCTCTTCTTGTTATTTTGGTTGCCGACCCCTGTGCTAGAGGATTCGAGAAGTGGTCGTGGCCAAAGGCGGGGCCAGCCACGCCCCGTAAAGATATACACCGGGTCCCCTGAAGATCTACGTTCTATGTCCGAGAAGAGTCACCAACACGTGGACCTGGACCCAAGCCGGGGTCCTGTCCGTTATAGCTACTCCCAGTGTGATCGGTGTAGTTAGCCTGGTGGTCCACCACCATAGGCTGTTATCTGGTGAAGGGGCAGTTACCCCTTTGTGTTGGTGTTATTTAAATGTGTTGCCTCCAAAAAGTACATCTGCGACGCAGTTGCATCCACTATACTTTCAAAGATGTGCGAGTGAGCGGCCCAGCCGTGCCTCATCTCAGGCTCAGTTCACAGAAACGCTGAGCGTGGTTGGGACCATGGCTCAGAGCCGGCTCAAGTTGAGCATAGCTCTGAGGGCTCACTTGAACCGTAGCCGAGCCTGAGATAATAATTATACACGGGGGCCTTGGGTGTGAGAGACGTCTCTGAGCCAAGGGCAAGATAAGAGGTTAGAGTAGTACTGGAGCCTTGCATCCTTTTTGTTCTCAATTTTAAAAATGTGCAATGTTAATAACTACACAGGGTTTGATGAAACAAAGCGAGTTTTACTTACGTGCCGGTGCTTAATTTGTATTGTCGATGATTTACCTTCTAACACAATCTGGCCTTATCTCGCACCCCCAGGAGGTGCAGCGTGCTGAACCCCAGGTTAAGGAGAAGAACCACTGACTTAGGGTGTGCAGAGATGGAGGGAGCGTGGCCAATGTACATCGTCACGGGTTTCACGCCGACGAGCAACATTTACGTGCACTCGGGCAAATGTTTCGAATCCCTTTGCGTCTCAGTGGAGGAGTTCTCTCGCCACACCGTCACAGGGTTTAACCAGGCGAACGACTGGGAGAGGCGTTGTCGGAACGAGATGCAGAATCAATGAACAATAAACTTGTTGAGGTCAAGTGCCCACCCAGGGCTAGGCCTGGCTCGCCTGGTTACCCTGCCCGGGTAGCCGCGCATCCCTGGGCAAGGGATTCTGAGAGACTGGGGTAAAAACCCAAGCCAGTCATTGTCATGCTCATCAAAGGAATGTAAATGGCTCGTGAATTCATGCATCGGCAGTCCTGTTATTAGCGAGGCTTTCCTGCAGAGCGGGCATCTTCGTTACAATCATCGTCATCATACCAGATTGATGTCAAAGCAAAATTGACCCCCTTCAATCACGAATTGATCTCACAGCCGCCCAGGGGCATATGTCACTCACGTACGTACACACACGCGCGCGCACGGTGGACGAAGTGGTGGGCTCAGTGCGCACGGGAAAAAGGAGGAGGCCCCCGTCTTGGATCGGACGCAAAACAATGCGACGCGTCAACGCTGAAATTGCACGCGAGCGCCGCAGGGGGACAACCTGCGGGCAAGCTTCGTCGGTTACCCCTCGCAGGATCGTCCCCTCCCGGGGGCTCTGCGCCTGCTCTCATCAACGACGCCCGGGCACAGAGGGGGTGGGGGGGGGGGCGACCGTGCGACCGCCCGCCAAGTTAGTTGCTTTACGTTCCATCCAACGCGTTTGGGCGCGGCGGTGGAGAGTGTCGTCTGACGACGGCACGCAGCGTGGTGTTGGGGGGGGGGGGGTTGGGGGGGGGTGTCGTCCGTCCGGGTGAGCGGGACTCTGGCCGTGCCCACCGGGCGCGAGAGTGACGAGGCGCCGTTCCTCGGTCCCGACGGCTGCGTTGCGGCCGCTCGTCGAACTTTGGGGGGGGGACATTCACTCCTCACTGTTGCGTTGGTGCCGTCCACCACCATCCCCCCCCCTCCCCAACGCCGATCGGCACCGCACGGCCACGCGAAGGCGGCCGGCGAGCGAGCAGTGAGTCCGCACCGCGGCCACCCTCCCGTCAGGGTTTACGAATAAACGAGACGGGGGGAGGCACCAAGACGTCGGAGTTTACGTGACTTTATTCACCAAGCTACTAAAATGCAATTGCTATATATACATTTTTTTTTCAGAGTGCGACACTTAATTGTAAGAAAATGTAAATAATTTAGCGATTCCTTTTTTAATAAACCTGTACATCACGAATACCTATAAACCAGAATCAATTTTACAAGTAATGCAGGAAGAGGAACGGTGATACACGAGTCAACGAAGGGGACGGCCTCTCTCTCTCTTCCTCCTCCTCACTCTCTCCGAGATCCTCACTCTCCTCCTCCTCACGCGCGATTAACGAGCGGTGAGCGACGTTCCGGCGGCAGGCCGGTCCCACACCCCCCCCCCTCGCTCCTCGTGGGGGGGACCGCCGGTGCCCCTGCTGGCTCCCACCGCCGGCAGCCCCCCCAACATTCCGCGTCGCCCTCTCTCCTGCACCAGGCGGGCCCTCGCTGTGCAAATTATTACTTGTTTTTTTTACAAAATACAAACCGGGTTCCAACCCCCCCCCCCCACCTCCCCTCGTTACATCTTGAAATGCTGGTGACAGGCCTGTCCCACCCGGGAGTGACACGGGAGAGGGAAGCGTACAACAATAATAATAAGTCGCCATCGGCTACTAATGTCGTGTGCAGGGGTGGGTGGGGGGTCCAGTTCCTACGAGACGAACGGGGGGCGCGCACCCTCAAAGCGAGGAGGAGCGGCGGGCACGGTCGTCTGAGCCCCCCCCCCCCCCCCCCCGCGTCGCTCTGGGGTCGTGGAGCGAGCGGGCGGGTGAGCAGGCGAGCGGGCGAGCCGTCTCAGGGAGAGGACCTTCGCGAAGGTCGTCAACGCGGCACTGGACAGCGACGCGGTTTAACAAACAAAAATGTGGGAACAGCGCAACACCCAGAAAGCCCCCGGTATTCCGAATCGCACGCCGCCGAGTACGGCAGAAGACACAGCCCCCCCCCCCCCGCCGAGTCGGCCACCAGGGACAAGCCGACGACCTGAGAACCGAATCTCATTATTGCCTCTCCCCCCAAAATCAACCCTCCCCCCCCCAATAGCCGCTACTAACTCTATATAGCCAACGGGCGGCGGACAAGGGAGCTTAGCAAAATCTTTTAATTAGCATTAATTAGCTTAATTGGCAGCAGATCTGAGCGCATTCCTGCGCCCGGGCTCTTTGAGAGGCGAGTGGTGGGCGGTGGTGGGGGGGGGAGGGGGGGTGTGGGAGGCGGTGGCTTGCAGGCGGCCCCCCCGGAGCGCGGATAATGAGCCCCGTGGGGGGGGGGCGGAGGAGGAGGCCCGGCCCCCCGCCTCCTCGCTCATGGGAACGCCGAGCGGCGCCGCGGAGCCGCTAATTAAATCGTTTCAGGCTTGAATGAAGGCACCTGGGCGGTATTATTGCAGATCCCTTCAGCAGACCTGCGGAAGAAAAAGGCGAAATAAGAGTCTTGCGTTAATGAATAATTAGCGAGGCGTTTGAGCGTTCGAGGCAGAGTTGAGAGGGGGGGGGGGGGCGGTGACAGGGCCGGCCAAAGGGAGAATGTATTTAAAGTTGAGCTGGTCAAGGCAGCCCACGATACGGGCTTAGACTAATGGGTAATTTAAAACGCCTGTTTTCACAAACAGCCTTTCACTGCGGCACAAAGCCCTAATGGCCATCATTTGGTGCAAAAGTGGCCCAATTAAATGAAAAAATGTCCCAAGTCCCGCTTACGGCCAACCGCTGATTAAGTTGTTCGTGGAATTTCTGATTAGCCCGCTCTGCCAAACGTCGTCTGAAACCTTAACAAGCTGCAGTCCGGTGCAGCTATTTTTTTTTGTATTATTACAAAGAAAAGTCTTCAGCGGGCGTTCCCCACAAACACAGCCGCAACGCGGTTCGACACTGCGGCCCCGCTCTGCGCGTCGCTTTGCTCGCCCCGCGTTCCCTCCCGAAGCTTATGGACAACTCCACACCGCCGTGAGAAACAACGAGCGCCCACGCACGGTAACCCGTTGCTTCCGGCGCAATGGGTTTAGGGCGTCAGCATTTGAATCAAACGCCAACCCCCCCCCCCCCCCCCCCCCGGTTGCACTCGCGGCACCGTCGATCGGTGCTGAGCATTGTCGGGTTCACGTCTGCGGTGCTCATGAGGCTCGAGCGCTCCAAACGACTGAAGCTGAGCGGCGAACTCCTCGGGATGAGCGAGCGGCCACGGGACTCGTGTATCACCGTTCCTCTTCCTGCATTACTTGTAAAATGGATTCTGGTTTATAGGTATTCGTGATGTACAGGTCTATTAAAAAAGGAATCGCTAAACTAGTTACTTTTTCTTCCGATAAAACTCGCCCCCACGGGACAACCCGGCTTGGGGTTGTCGCACAGCAGGCCAATCGAAACCCGGTCGGTTAAAAGCGTCGACGTTTTATTTGTGCTCGATGCGCGCTAAAGGGCCCCCCCCCCCTTTTCGCAACCGAGGAGCGCTCGCTTGCACTCGGCGTGCGCCCCCTCACGCCTCATCACGTCGCCGAGCGTCTTCACGAGACACCAAACCCGGGTGGGGGGGGGGGGGGGCGCCGGGCGGCGTTTAACCAGCGAACGTGTCGCCGCGAGCACGCAACCGAGAGTGAGACGGCGGTACTTTAAAACAAACGGTGTCACATCGAGCGACGTGAGAAGAGCGACTCGCACTCGAGCCCCCCCCCCCCCCACGGGGGTGCAACGGTGCCGTCTCGCTCACTCGCAGCCTTCACCACACCGTCACGACGACGACAATGGCGACGACGATGGCGACGACGATGCTCACCATCATCTCTCGACCCCCGAAAAAGGTCAATCTGACCGAAGCGGCGCTTGCAGCCGGAGCCAGGGGGTGCTCGCCACCTGCCGCATGCCGAGGGCCGGAGGCCCGTGTGTGGCGAGCGGCACTGAACCCCCCCCCTCCACCCGCCCCGGCAGCGGCGTCATCGATCGTGCCAGGAGCGTGAATTACGCGCGGGATTACGAGGCGGTGCGGATTTCCAGCTCCCTCTCGCTCTCGCCCTCCTCCTTCTAACGAGCCGACGCTCTTCCTTTTCAGTCCGGATTTAGCTGCAATTTAAAGTTGACCTCTCGCGCATATGTCCAGGACAAAAGAACCTAAATTGGGAAGATGTCAGAGCTCCACCGATTTCATAGCCCAAATAATTTGGCATTCACAAGGACAGGAATTTTGTTTTCCGTAGCCCTTGAGCTGTGTTTGTTAATATTTCTGCCATGTTTACGCTGTGCACGCATGCATGGGGTATGCGATAACGATCGTTATCGAAGGCAGCTCTGCCTTCGACATGGGGAGATTTACGCCATCTCCACGCCGCTGGGTGACCAGGGAGCTGGGATAGCAACCAACAAGGGCCGTCGATGATGGGGTGCGGGGCTCGGGGTAAAACCCACCGCGTGGGTGACCGGCGCCTTCAAACTGAAGTGGAAGTGTTACATCCGACGGCGTGACGTCGAAGCGCGAGGGCCTCCCCAAAGAGCGGGGCCCGGGCGGTCGCCCCGATTGTCGTACCCTCGGGACGGCTCCGGGCGCTCAATCCCCACCGAGACAAGACAGGCTGGGAGGAGCCGGACACCGGCGCTTTGGACGGTCCGCGTTGGGGTCACGGCCCAAAGGTCACGAGCGCGTGGCAAATTCCTCATTCCTATGCCGAGGGCGAGTCGATCCGTAGGGCAACCGCTGTTGGCGTCCCCACGTGGCGGTGTTCTTTTTATCGACTCTGCAGGGATTGAGAGTCGAAAGCAGGATGTGTACTCATGACTTTCCGATTGCGAACCGCTCGCTCTCCCGCCGGCACTCGAGAAAACCACTGAGGACTAAAACACGTGCCACGCGTCACACCGTCCGTCTGCGTATAAACTCGGCAGAGGGGACATCGACCCGCCACCAAGTGGCACGTGCCGAGTAAGCGCGGGCGAACGAAACGGCTTTTTTTTTACTCTTGAACGTAGTGATGCGCCTGGCGCGTGCAACTGCCGAAGCAAGGCTCTTCCGAAGTTCTGGTGTTGCGATAGAAGAGGCTCGTTTTAAAATTATGATTGTTATTTTTACAACTGTTATGAACTTCACGAAGAGCAAAATGAGTGCCAGGAGTGCCGAGGGTTTCTTCGCAAGGATAGAGAGAAGACTCAATCCACAGTTTAAATCCGCTCGTAATTGGCGGTGGGGTTTGTCTAAACGTCGCGTGGCGAGCTTCATCTCTTCGCTCACTCGCCAGTTGGACGCAAGGGTTCTGTAGGAAGTGAAGTCTTTTTTTTTATGCCGTCTCTTCAGTTGCGCACCTCCGAAAAAGCAAATGTAGCAAACTCTTTTTGCTTAACGCTCGCTCTTGTTTGCATCGATCGCACCCCTTGCAGGCTTGCGCAGCTTCTCACCAATTCCCTGTAATCTGCACCGTTTACAACGACGGCCACCGTGGGCACATCCGAGATGGTTTTACCTCCTCTCCAGTTCAAGCTGTCTTTTCCCCAAATTTAGATCTCCGATTGTTTTGGGGTTTTTGTTTTACTGGGACGGACCTAGGCAAGAGAATATAATCGTTGGACTTCCGCTTCAGACTTTCATGGCCACGGCTCTCTTCACGCAATCTCAATTTAGCCGGTCCCTTGTTGATGAAAAAAAGAATAATTTTCCACATTTTCTGCGTGGTTTTCATTGCAGTCATTGCTCTACGAGTTCCACTTTCACCGACAAAAACAGATTCCCCCCTCAAAGGAGGACAATCCAGGCACACTCAGAATCCGGTTGCCTGTGCAGGCAAAGTGAGAGAAATTTCTGCCCCTTATCGCACTCGACCACGGCGTTCGTTAGGCCCTCACATTCCCACAGTTTGATTTCCGAAATATCTCGTGAACTATTTATATTTGGTGTGAGAGAGGAGTAATGGGGTATTTAATCCTTAAAATCGAGCTGTTTCTACCTTTTTTTGTAAATAGAAGAGCGATTGAGGTCTGGATGCAACGGTTGATGAAGCCTTTCATTGCTGCGTAAACATTTAATAAGCAAATCGGACTCGTTTATAATTGGAACAGCTGGTTGTGCTCCTCTAATGATGTCCACAATTATTCCATCTGGTGCAGTGTGAGCTTCTGCTTTTTCCACGCGGCAGAGGGAGATGGTTTACCCCTTTCCCATGTGGTGGTACCCGGTGCCATGGCAACCTCGTTCTGCGGGGGTTACCAATTCAAGTATCTTTTTGTGCACGGCTCAAATTGGTAACAAACAAAAAATCCCTCTGCTATTTTTACAATTCTGAGTCCAGCTTGGAGGGGGGGGGGGGGGGGAGATTGCCTCGGCCCCATGATGAAAAAATAAGTACCATCTTGCGGAAGAAATAAAAGCAGTTGTCCCTATGGATAGACTTGTGCCCCTGCCACTGGAACGTGGAACTTCCACCACGGCTCAGGGGGTGTAAAGCAGTAGATGAGCACCAATGACCCCCTTGTGCTCATTTGAGCAGCGGCAGCGGCGAGATGAGCTGATGTGTCATCAAGTTGCACATCTCTTGACCGAGCGTCGTGCATTCCTCTGAACTCGGCCACTGGATACGGTACACGACCCTTACCCAGAAACACTCCCAACCTCGTCAAATAACGAACGTTAAGTGGGGTTTGAGCCTGGATAGCACGAAGATTGGCAACCCCGGCACTTTGCAGCGTAGTGAAGGATGATCGAAAACCCCCCACAACCTGCACAACGTGGGGAGGCCCCCCATGAGAGTGATGGGTCACTGAGGGGGGGGGGGGTGAGTGTCCCGTGAGAGTGATGGGTCACTGGGGGGGGGGGAGGGTGAGTGTCCCGTGAGGTCACCGGGGGGGGGGGGGGGGAGGGGGGAGTGTCCCGTGAGAGTGATGGGTCACTGGGGGGCGGTTAGTGTCCCGTGAGTGAGATGGGTCACTGGGGGGGGGGGAGGGTGAGTGTCCCGTGAGGTCACCGGGGGGGGGGGAGGGGGGAGTGTCCCGTGAGTGAGATGGGTCACTGGGGGGGGGGGGAGGGGAGTGTCCCGTGAGTGAGATGGGTCACTGGGGGGGGAAAGTGTCCCGTGAGTGAGATGGGTCACTGGGGGGGGGGGGGGGGGGGGGGAGTGTCCCGTGAGTGAGATGGGTCACTGGGGGGGGGGGGTGAATGTCCCGTGGGGGGTCACAGGGGGGTGGGGGGGGTGAGTGTCCCGTGAGAGTGATGGGTCACTGGGGGGGGTGAGTGTCCCGTGAGTGTCCCGTGAGTGAGATGGGGGTCACTGGGGTGGTGAGTGTCCCGTGAGTGTGACGCGTCACCGGTGTGGTGAGCTGACCGCACCTTCTGGTCGGGGAGAAGCGATGCGGAGGGCAGCGGGGGTAGGTGGGTGCCCAGGTGTGGCGTGGCCCCCGGGGGCAGCGCCCCGCCGGGGTGATCGTGCTCGCAGAAGAGGCGCCCGTTCAGGTAGTGGAACCGGTCCCCGGGCAGCAGGCGCGTCCGGCACACGGCGCAGGTGAAACACTGCCACCACGCATGAGTCGGGGGGGGGGGGGGGGGATGGACAATGGATACTGGCATCGGCAACAACGCAGGACAACGGAGACGGGGGGGGGGGGGGAGTGTTTGGCGTTTGTTAAATCGGCACAGGAATAATTTAGGAATGCCGGCGGAGAGGAGCGGCAAGCAGGGATTTCGCTGGGAGTGGGTCGGGCCTGTCGTGAGTTGGTGGCGCCGCGACCCGGCTTTCATGCGCTAAGATCAATTTTCGTTTCAGCAGGGGAGGAACTTGGCGAAACGAGGATAGTCCCAGGGTGAGAGGCAAGAGGAGCTTTGCGCGGCGTGGGCTGTTTATACTTCGCCAGAGATGGAAATTCCACATTCCCCCTGAGCCAGATGTTTGGGGCGTCGCGGTGGCGAGATTTTAACTACCCCCGCCTGGTACACGGGAGGTCGTCGGTTCGACCCCGACGTCTCTATATTTGGAGTTTGCATGTTCTCCCCGTGGTCGTGTTAATTTTCCTCCGGGTCCTCCCGTCGCGGTCGCGCCATCGCCGATCTCTGTCGCCTGCAGGCAAAGGCGCTGCCAGAGTCTAGGCGCGTCGTGAAGACGCTGCGGGCCGATTGCCGTTGACGCGTCCGCCGGCAGCGCAGACCGGACGAGTTTCAGGGCCTGCAGGTAGAAGTTGCAGATTTCGGTGGACGTCAGCGGTGTCATCGCCTATCGACCTTGCGCTGCAGAGGAACTCCACGTGTCCTGACGTCGGGTTGACGCTGCAGGTATCCGTAAGTGCTCACGGTGGAGCAGACCGGACGAGCCATTGTCCGGTCGCCATCACGGCCGCCCCTGACCTCTCCTGGTTCAGCAGGAAGTTCCGTGACCAGCACCAGCGCTGAAGGGCCTCTACGCGAGCCACAGCTGCTAAAGTCAGCTCTGGAGGCGACCTCGGCCGTTGGGGTTCCGCGGAATGCGTGACTGTGACGTAATTGCAAGAAAGCTGGCCTTGAGCAGAGGCGGGGGGAGATTTCGAGAAGAGGGTTTTTTTCCACGTTCGCGATCGCCATCTCGCCGGCCTTTGTCATACGCATCCTCTCCCAAACATCGAGTTGGTAAAACACCGCTGCCTGGTCTATCGCCAGATCCAGACTGCGGTGCTGCAGGTTGTGATGAGAGTAGAGATGGCGCGTCTGTGGAAAGCGCAGAAAAGTGGTGTCGAAAGACTTCACCTCGGGCTGCAGGGCGTGGGGGCCACAGTGGGCCCCAGCCACCGGTGGGGCCCCAGCCACTGGGGGGGCCCCAGCCTTTGGGACGGATTTTTGAGGCAAGGTTCCAGTCAAAAGTGTCCCAAGATCTTGCGACGTCCTTCCCATCAAAATCGCACCTCGTGCGTCGTCCGAAGCAGTCATCGTCGCCGTCAGCGCGGATTACCTCCAGATCCTCCGTGGCCGGAAGCACGTTGTCCTCAACTGAGCAACCTACAATTGGCTCAAGCAGCATTATCAAGTGCTGGCAAACAGAGGTCACTTGCCAGCAGACGTATTTGACTCGTGTCACAAAACACGCAGCGTGTGATGCTGCCATTTAGAAACAAAGGGCGGAGTGGCGGCACAGTGGTTAGCGCGCCACGCTAGGAAACATTGCTCAATTCCCGGCCATGGCCAACAACAGCGGCGAGCGGTAACGGGACCGGTCTTTCCTCCCTTCCGCTCCCCTCTCCTTCACAAACCCACACTGACCAGTGTGGTGAAGTATGGCTGAACAACCCCATGACCAACACGCCACGGAGAGGCCTTCACATACCGGTGGATTAACAAGGGCTTATATTATTCAGACTGTAGTGCGGTGTGCTTTCAGTCGGTGGCATTGTTTGTTTATATTCTTATTGTCGTTATGGTGCGCATTTGCGGCATACTTGCATTGGCGCGTGTGATTAATTGGCTTGTGGCAGTCGACCGGTGAATCTGACAAGGTATTTCAGTAACGACGACGCAGGAATGCAATGCCCTCTTTGTTACACAGCAGACGGCATTGTGGGACAGCGTGTAGTTTAAACGTGGCAGCGCCGTTCAGGCATTAATCTCATTAGTTTCATTTTCTCAGAAGCGGCCTGAACGGAGCGAAGGGAAAAGGGAGTTCAATGCCCGCATAAGAATGTCGCGATAGCAGGTCACAGGTCACAGGTCGCAGGTCGCGGGTCGCGGGTCGCAGGTCGCGCTGACTCAGGGGGACAATTCCAGCGCCGCTGAGATCCTGGCCACGGGCGTCTCTCTACCGCAGGGCGGTTCATCACGGCCCGTGCCGCCTCGGCTCCCCGAGCGACGTATCGAGAAACAGGTTTGAGCGTGTCGACGACCGCTCCCCTTCACCGGAGCCGCCGGGGCTCTCTCTCGCGCTGCCGGGGCCGTTCGTCCCATCGGCCGCCGCCGCCCCCTAAAACCGCATCAAGCCGATCCGCTGGTGCGCCGCTCGCGGTGCGGCCCTGCCATGGGCGCAAAGCTCCCTGCCCCCCCGCATCACAACGCTCCCTGCACAATCACCTTGCCGTGTAAAACCTTCGTTCGTTATGCAGAATTATTACCGTTGTCCTATCTTCTTGGCAATGTTTTTTTTTTATTGTGTAATGACACGAGGCCGGTACAAGGCACCACGCCGCTGGCTCAGTGTACCAAGCCGTGGGGGGGCGAGGACTATCGACGTTTCAGAGCCATACTTAGGTGGGGGTGGTGGTATCCAATCTTCTCATCTTGTATAGATGTATGAAGCGCCTTACTCCAAGGTGCTTTACAACAATTAGTAGAATTGTACATGACGTGATAGCGGTTGAGATAAAGAAGGGGGGTTGTTATTACAAGGGGTTGTGTAGCTATTAGCTCTGGCGACAGGAAAACAGGCTGGAGTGGGGAAGGAAGGGTTGGGTTCGTGATAGAGAAAGGGGTAGTGATAGGGGTAGTGGTCTCCATCATTATCAGCAGCCTATCTTATCGGCTGCTGAATGAAAGCCACCTGTGTTGTCAAGTGCCCTTGGGTTCCCATACACAAGGGCACTTGATTGAACGAACGAATGGCTGCGATTTCCCGATTTAGTGAATTCTGAATCTTGATTTATCCTGGAGAAATCCGATGAGCTGTGAAGCTCTTTTCCGCAGGTGTCCGGCACTGAGAGTCCGCCGTTCCAGGCTTCGAGCGATTCCACGTGGCGCGGTCGGTGCGAGCCCGGCCGCACGGCACAAGCAGTCCATCACACTGGGGTTACACACGTTCGGCCATCACCACTGCCGCCGCTACTGCCTGTGACCCATTCGATGGTTGGGGGGGGGGGCACCCTTCAGGATCCCCCCAAAACCACACGCTCTTTGGTGCTGTGGGGCAGCAGCAGCAACAGCAGCAGCAACAGCAGCAGCAACAACAGCAGCAGCAACAGCGGAGCTAATAATAATAATGATCGCCTTGCTGCGCGTCGTCATTCGATGTACCTTTCGAGATTTAAGGAAACCCGCAGGACATTGCGGTTGACGTTTTCATTGCAAATGCCTGCGGACGTTCCTCCGCCTTGGCTGCGAGAGTCCAAGCTGTCGCAGCCGCGCACGGCACTGACAACGTTTTTGGCAGCCCCCAACGTAAACTAAACAATTTTTATTTTACGAGGTAAGAATGCCCACCGAGCTACAGAGCTCTTTCTCAGAAGTGAACTCTAAACGAACAATTGGCAAAACAGCTCTCTACGTGTTTGCTGTGTGCTCGCCGTGTACTTGCAGGGTGCTCACTGTCTACTTGCTGTGTGCTCTCTGTGCTTGCTGTGCTCTCTGCGGCGCTGTGATCTCTCTGAGTACTTTCCGTGCAGCGTCGCGCCCTTGTGCGGAGTGATGCCCATGTGGGGTGCCCTCTCCGTGTGCGGTGCCCTCTCCGTGTGCGGAGTGATGCCCATGTGGGGTGCCCTCTCTCTGTGCGGAGTGATGGCCATGTGCGGTGCGCTCTCCGTGCTGCACCTTGAGGTGGTAGACGCTGCCCTGTGCGCGCATGACGAGCTCGCTGGCGGGGATGGAGACGCTGCACGCGCTGCATGCACCGCTGTGCCCAAACATCCTGCACGAGAGAGAGAGGGAGGGAGAAAGAATCAGCAGCGAGCCGCCGTGGAGAGAGAGCAAACGAGCAGTTCGCCGCCATCCAAAACCATACACGAATTAAAAACAAAAACCGCAAGCGTGTTTTATATATATATATACGCCCAGCTTGTAAAAGCGAGGTACACGTCGGACGGGAGACGGAGCCGGGAGATGTAAAACGAGGTAACACGCGATGGGGGGGGAGGAGGGAATAACGGAACGCCACGTCGTTGGTTAATGAGTGGCAACGTTGTTGTCTACAGGAATCGTCGATTACAATCTGTCACCAACAATACCTCAAACGAGCTGCATCACTAATCCGTGAGCGCTCATTCCCATTATATCAACTCACCCAATGAATTTTTGCTCAACGACAATCACGATAACAATGACACTCAAGCTTCATTACCGACAAAACAAACCTCAATACAATTCAGGATAGGCCCCATTTTCACCAACCGCCAGACAGGTTAGCCATATCAAACTAATCTAACCTGCCGATCACAACCAATCATCAACCAGGCCGTCCACTCGCATCGTTAAACCGATTCACCTGCATGGCAAGGCTGCCCGTGTCGCCTCGCGGCGACATCGCCAACTGCTTCTGGCATTGTCAACTTTTTCCTCGATTTTAAACATTTCTCCTTCGCTTTTGCATGCAAAATAAAACAATCGCCACATTTGCCAACGACGTGACGACTTGGTTCGATAGGCCCTGTCGGGTGGTGGAGGGTTATAGTTCAAAACATTGGCATTATACCTACGCGACGATCGCACACGAAGTGAACCCGTAACAAATCGTATTATCGATATGTGTCAAAGCGGCAGTGTAAGGATTCCAGAGTGTTTCAGAAGAGAGCGGCACTCGGGCAACACCCAGGCTTCCGAACCGCTGCAAGTTAAAGGACATTCAATTGTCAAGAATCATAATATTAATTTGTGCTGCAAGAAACCGATGAGCTATGAAGTTCTTTTTCACGGATGTCCAAGTAGGGCCACGGGGTCTGAACGTCACAACAACAAACTTTAAGTATATAAAAGAGAAGCCAATCTCAAATAAAAACTAATACTACAATTGTAAATGTTGTGGGTTTACTCTCCAATACGCAACTGGTGTGCTTAAGTAGTAAAAAATTGGAACGTTTTGTTTACGTGACAACCCTTACTAGTTGGCTGTGTCGAGTAGTGGGTGGGTTAACGACATATTTATATTTCAAATGCGCTTCTGCGGCCGTCTGGAACGCTCTTCCTCCTTCCGATATTAGGAGGCCACCGGGGCTACGCACTTTTCAATCATCTACAGTGAGGGAAAAAAGTATTTGATCCCCTGCTGATTTTGTACATTTGCCCACTGACAAAGAAATGATCAGTCTATAAATTTAATGGTAGGTTTATTTGAACAGTGACATAGAATAACAAAAAAATCCAGAAAAACGCATGCAAAAATGTTATAAATTGATTTGCATTTTAATGAGAGAAATAAGTATTTGACCCCTCTGCAAAACATGACTTAGTACTTGGTGGCAAAACCCTTGTTGGCAATCACAGAAGTCAGACGTTTCTTGTAGTTGGCCACCAGGTTTGCACATATCTCAGGAGGGATTTTGTCTCACTCCTATTTGCAGATCTTCTCCAAGTCATTAAGATTTCGAGGCTGACGTTTGGCAACTCGAACCTTCAGCTCCCTGCACAGATTGTCTATGGGATTAAGGTCTGGAGACTGGCTAGGCCACTCCAGGACCTTAATGTGCTTCTTCTTGAGCCACTCCTTTGTTGCCTTGGCCGTGTGTTTTGGGTCATTGTCATGCTGGAATACCCATCCATGACCCATTTTCAATGCCCTGGCTGAGGGAAGGAGGTTCTCACCCAAGATTTGACGGTACATGGCCCCGTCCATCGTCCCTTTGATGCGGTGAAGTTGTCCTGTCCCCTTAGCAGAATAACACCACCAAAGCATAATGTTTCCACCTCCATGTTTGACGGTGGGGATGGTGTTCTTGGGGTCATAGGCAGCATTCCTCCAAACACGGCGAGTTGAGTTGATGCCAAAAAGCTCCATTTTGGTCTCATCTGACCACAACACTTTCACCCAGTTGTCCTCTGAATCATTCAGATGTTAATTGGCAAACTTCAGACGGGCATGTATATGTGCTTTCTTGAGCAGGGGGACACCTTGTGGGCACTGCAGGATTTCAGTCCTTCACGGCGTAGTGTTACCAACTGTTTTCTTGGTGATTATGGTCCCAGCTGCCTTGAGATCATTGACAAGATCCTCCCGTGTAGTTCTGGGCTGATTCCTCATCGTTCTCATGATCATTGCAACTCCACGAGGTGAGATCTTGCATGGAGCCCCAGGCCGAGGGAGATTGACAGTTCTTTTGTGTTTCTTCCATTTGCGAATAATCGCACCAACTGTTGTCACCTTCTCACCAAGCTGCTTGGCGATGGTCTTGCAGCCCATTCCAGCCTTGTGTAGGTCTACAACCTTGTCCCTGACATCCTTGGAGAGCTCTTTGGTCTTGGCCATGGTGGAGAGTTTGGAATCTGATTGATTTATTGCTTCTGTGAACAGGTGTCTTTTATACAGGTAACAAGCTGAGATTATGAGCACTCCCTTTAAGAGTGTGCTCCTTATCTCAGCTCGTTACCTGTATAAAAGAAACCTGGGAGCCAGAAATCTTTCTGATTGAGAGGGGGTCAAATACTTATTTCCCTCATTTAAATGCAAATCAATTTATAACATTTTTGACATGCGTTTTTCTGGATTTTGTTGTTGCTACTCTGTCTCTCACTGTGCAAATAAACCTACCATTAAAATTATAGACTGATCATTCCTTTGTCAGTGGGCAAACGTACAAATCAGCAGGGGATCAAATACTTTTTTCCCTCACTGTAGATGTAAAACTCATCTCTTTAGATCCGCTCATCGTCGTTGTTGTGTTTAGCTGGTTGTGAAGAGGTCCTCGCAGTCAATGCCGCACAAGCCCTCAGACCTCACCGCTGCCTCCGCAGACATTAGAGAGTCGACACTTGACCTTCAAGGTAAAGCCCACTTAAATAAGTGCCCCAAAAGGCCTTGACTACGTGAAGGCAGACGCCACCTCTGAGAACAGAACCAACTTTTATGAAATGAGCGGTAAAACCCCACTCCCCCCCCCACCACTCTCCAATCGTCAACGTAGCCATAGGGTTTTTTCATTCATTTACTGAAAAACCAGGCGCCGCCCCCCCCCCCCCCAACTTCCAAAACGTGTGAGAGGAGTTCCCCCCCTCCCACCCCCCCGTGGGGTTAATAACAAACCAGACGCGAGAGGCAATGCCCCGGGGGAGCGCCCCCACGTCACCACCTGCACCTGCGCTCGCGACGCTCGATAGATGCCGCCGATCGAGCGAAATCCACGAGGTGGCCGATCCGACCGATCGCGCAGGTGGCACTCGCGGGGGATGGATGGAGTCGCATCACTGAGGCCACGGGTGGACAAGGGAGCCCCCCCCCCACCCCGTGCGTCCGATCCCGGCGAAGATCCTGTCGCAAATCTTGCTACGTCCTCCCCTCGTGGCTTCACGGCCCGCGTGGGGATCTCTCCGCTGCTTAGAGGGGGAGCAGTGCTTTCACTATTTAAACAAAACTTTGTTTGATTTTACGTGCTAAGGCTCACTAAGCTATGTAGCTGATTTTCAGATGCGGCCTGGCTGTCACAAATGATCGCTCGACGAAGCGACTAACTGCACGTTGGTTCTAAATGCGGAGGGAACAACCCGGAGGACCCGGAGAAAAATCCACGTGGAGAGAGACGTGCAAACTCCAACTATACAGCAGCAGGCCTCAGGGATCAGGATCTAACCCACGACCTCCTGCATACCAGGCGAGGGAGATAACATCTCGCCACTGCGGCACCCTATCATTTCATACACAGCTCCAACGAGCGCGCTGCAAGCGCAAGAATCGACACGAATCCACGACTGCGGATCTCGCGAGACACAGCCCCCTACTCGGGACACTCGGCGCGAGCGCTCACCTGGTGTTCCGCCTGTGACGAGTCGAGCTCTCGCGTGAGAGTTCACCGCTCAAGTGCCACGTCGTGCGTACGCGAATCTTCCACACTGGTCCGAGCACAACTCCTCCCCCCTCCACCTCCGCGTGGAAGTCAAATGAGAGGCGGTGGGGAAAAGTCACCGCCGCCGCCGCCGCCACCTCCACATCGGCGAGCGCGCGCTCTCGTCGCTGTCTTCCCCGGATTGCGTTTCGCGACGTGACGCGACAGCCGATAAGCAAAAGCCATATTCCCAGACGCCAGCGCTAATACACAAAAACGCCAAAACGCCATTAGGATAAAGCGATTACAGGCGCGCTCTGCTCGATAAATCGAGCCGACGCGCGCGCAAGGAGACGCAGCGACAGAGAGAGGATCCCTCGTTGGTTTGCGGAGGGGGGGGGGGGTAAATCACAAACCGCGACGTTCCACTTAGCCTAAAATCGGTTTCAGTCGCTGCCCAAAGGGCATTATCTTCGTTACGATTAAAGCGACGAGTGGCCGACGATGAGGATCTCCCCGCCAAACTGCAAATCGGCTGCAGTGCCCAAGCATCCCAGATCATCGCGGGCCAGAAATAAACACGCGTCTCGCCTTACCACGACGTGACGTGTTCACGTGTTCCCGACAGATTTGAGCAGTGAAGAGAGCAGCAACGCTCTCGTGTTTTGCCTCAATACACGACTTTGTGATTGGAGCATAACAGACTCTCTAGCTTCTCTGTTTATGAGCTACAAAGAAGGCCCCTTGCCACAAAATATCACCTTATTTTACGTACTTTTTATTTCTACGGCCACAGTTCTATTGAAATGTGTGCTTGTGCTCACCGCCAATGCACCAGCAGCAGATAATGTCGACTCTGAATGGACGCCTCCTGTGAATTAGCAGTCAACACGAAGAATTCCCCAGACACCGTAGTTATGGCTCCTTAACAAAGCGCACAAGC